CGTCTTGGTAGTAAACTCGTTAGCTACTTGCGAGAGAGTGAATATGTGTAATCTGTGCAAACTCTTAAGTAAGAGTTTGTGACCAATCAGTAATTACCTTGGGACATACTGGCGTAACTGAAAACAATAACCACTGAAATACCTTTCGTGCCAATAGAAATTACATTTTTGGAAATGTGCGAATCTTTCCTTATCACTACAACTGTTCTGCCTACAAAGGAAAACCTACACTATCTATTCAACCATGTTGTCCAAAGCAGAATTGCAGGAGAAATGAAAATTGGAGCAACTAAGAAATCTCTGAAACAAGTCCTTGGAAAATTACTGCATAGAAACAAAAAACAAGAATCTTGGCAGAAAGTTAGCTTGGGAGTTAGCTTTTTGAACTCACAGTCTGAAGTCTGATATTTTATTGCACCGTAGTGTAAACAACACAATACCTCAATGCCTCTTAGATAAAGGAAGTAAACGGACCTCTTCAGTATATTCGAACTATGAAAACCTATTTGTGAGGCAACTAAACTACCCGTGCGTCCCAAGAACATCAGCTAAATCCAATGAAAGTTAAAGCAGGTTGAAGAGAAGCAAATATGGCCTTCATGGTAAACGTCGGTGGACCTTGACCGTAATGAGTATTTATAGCGATATTCGTTGTATCGCGACCCGCCGTTTGAAAAGTTCGTTTTGATTTGGTCTTTTGTGGACCGTCAATCAACTAGTGGGCGGAGTTATGTAATGGTTAGCCGCTGACCGGTGGGCTTTTGTGCAAATGCTTTCGCTCGTTGACGAGAAAAATATAAGCTTAAGCTTAATTCATGAAATCATGACGAAAAGTTTTCCGAAGGAACTACGCTGGAGGGTTGTTTTTATGCTTCGAGAAGGTAAAACAACGTCCGAAATTGCACAGACGCTGCATGTTGGTAAAACGTTTGTCAAAACGATCAAACGCTTATTCGATACAACTAATTGTGTTGATGACCGACCAAGGTCAGGCAAGTTGAGAAGCTTGAGAGGTGAGTACATGTAAGCTCATATTCTTTCTGATATTGTAAACTAACGAATATATGATATTCGTTACAATACAATACAAACAGGTTGTGCATTTGCTTAATTAGTAGCTAATTAGTGTCTATACTCAACTTCCAGAGGGGCTATGCTCGTGGTCTGAAAGGTAGAGGAATTTCTGTGAAAGGAAATTTCACCAGAGGAACAAGATATAGTGTTATTAGTGCCCTCAGTATCCAAGGTGTTGTAGGATCCCATACTATTTTGGGGACTTTCATTCAGGAGCAATTTGAATTTGCAGTTACAAACTTTATATTGCCATTTGTTGGATCATGTGCTAGGAGGGAATCCTGTTCTGTTGTTATATTGGATAATTNTGATGACCATCCCACCCCAAAACATATTACGTATGCATTACTGATATGTCTTTTATATACATGGATAAATAATTATCAATGATCATGATGAACATTAGAAAGCCATGGAAACTCATAGAGTAGTATGGATATATAGGCGTGGATGCCGATGGCTATAGCCGTGGATTGTCATAGAAGAGCTATGTTTGCTTGTGGAGAACCATGGATAATCATAGATAGGTATGGATACTTAAATCGAATACCGTGGATGTAGTCATCAATAATAAAAGAGTAGCTTATGTCTAGGAAAGGATAGCCATGGATATCTATAGATAGGTATGGATGTTCAGGGATATCTATGGATAGTGTCGCGTTCCCGATGTCRCAGACACGTGGTGTTGGGCACCGGAGTTCGCCAGATTAACCACTTTGAGTCGTGAAGGTTATATTCGTTTATTAGCGTAACTGCCTGAATACACGTTGACTCGCTTGCGGTAAAAACTAAAGAGCGTAAAATTGCTTATAATTACTACAAATTGCTAATGCTAAACTATACTTAAACGCATTGTATAAAATATTGAAAACGAGTAAACTTACGTCTGATCTTGTCTCCGCGAGATTGGATAAYTAGTTAAAAGAAGACTTTTAAAGGCTAGTTGACTCCGTTCCGAGTTTGCTGCTCCTCTCCGTTTGGCTCTTGAGACTACACTAAATTAGGTTCGGTTGGACGTGCTACTAAAAACTAATACTAAATTCCATATCTTGAAAAAYAGGAAAAACCTAAATTCCTATGCTATTGTGAATACAAAAAAGGGACTAAAKTAGAAAGACCGCAAGTAATGGGCTTGTCACTATTGTTAATCTATACGTTGATTGATAACATGCAATGATAACTAGCTACTTATTGTTCAAGAGTTTGTGTCGGTTTTAGTCGTTGCGTGACTACATGACAGATAGCGATGGATAGCTGTGGATACTAACGGATGGTTATAAATAGCTAACAATAGCTGTAGATGGTCATAGCTAGCCATGACTATAGATGGCTATGGATGCTCAAAGGATAGTTATGGGTAGCCGACAGTAACTATGGATGATCAAGGATAGTTATGGTTAGCTAGGGATATCTATGGRTGCTCAGGTATAGCTATGGATAGCTAGCGATAGCTGTGGATGCTCAAGGACAGCTATGGATAGTTAGCAATAGCTATGGATGCTCAGGGATAGTTAGGGATAGCTAGCGATAGCTATGGATGGCTAAGGATAACTATAGATGCTCAAGAATAGTTATGGATAGCTACAGATATGTATGGATGCTCAGGGATAGCCATGGATATCTAAAAATAGATAGGGATACTCAGGGATAGCTATGAATAGCTAAGGGTAGCAGAGGATGTTCAAGGATAGTTATAGATAGCTAAGGATACCAATTGATGCTCAGGTATAGCTATGGATGCTCAGGGAAAGCTATGGATAGCTAAGGATAGTTATGGATACTCAGGGATAGTCATGGATATCTACAGAGAGACATGGATGCTCAAGGAT